GTATGATATATGCTTAGATATCTGATCCATAAAGGTAACAAATTACAGGCTTATCAGATTCAAAGTACTAATGTTGCGTATGCCTATGGGGGGTATGCGTATGATATGAGTATTTTTATAAACGCAAAAAAGTCATTGCGTTTTAATACAGGAACCTTTTTTTGTCCATTTTTCAGTAGGACTGTCAGCGCAAGGCAACCAGAAAATACGTATCTGCAGCTAGGCCTTTGCAGTCTCGAGAAAATGAAGGCCACCCGGTATGGTCTGGAGTTTGGTGGAGTGCAAATGAATTAGGTAGAGAAGAAGTTTAAGCGTCTTGCGGTAATCGATGAATAATGGAAAATGGGAAATGGAAATATATTCATGCGCAGCCATTCGAACAGTGTAGTGCGGAAGCTACGTCGGTATGTTTCGATGAACAAGTGGCTGAGGAGCAGCAGTGTGAGCCAAACTTTTTTTTCGAGGCATATGCGCGTTATCCGCGTGTATGGTGAGATCCCGGATATAAGTGACAAAAATGGGCAAAATTTGAAATATGGCAGTTGTCGACACCTTGGACTGGATACTGCTTTTTATCTATATAAAGGAATCACAATTGCGGCGGTATATACTTGTGGTTGGTACACTTTAGGGGAGATTTGCAGTGTTGGTTCCTTTTGCAGAAGCACACAGTTTGTGGTCATGTTGCAGATCTAGGACTAAGTCACTGAGGAATTAGTTTGGTGAACATATGACTTTGTCGCCGTAGAACTTAACTGGTGGAGCTTGCTCGTTTAGCGAGTTACCAGTATTCAGTTATCAGCAACTTTGCTGTTCAGGTATTGTTAGCCTTAACGCCAATGCCGGCAACAATGGCAGTATTCTCCTAATAGCTGCTTGTTTTGCATGGCACTAATAAGCCGTATTTAGCAGTTTTCATCGTGTGAAAACCAATAAAAGTAATAGTACTACCTTAATTTTTTATTTCATTATTACATTTTGCAATATTTTCTTTCTGTCATCAGTTAGCTACTTCGCAGTTGCATGAGTGGAAAAACTAGCATATCAAAAAAGTTGATGTCGTAAACCAGCGTTTCGGATGTCCAGCATACTGCTTATATTATCATTGACCTTTTTCAACCTTATGCTTTTTGCCCGTTTAACTGATTACCAAAATTTCTTTAATTTGTCTCGGCACTGAACCCAGATGCACTTTCATTCACTTGTTTCACTCATTTTCACAGCATTGACTACTTTTAGACTACGGTCAGCAAAGAACCTTACGGTGAAAGGTGTGAATGCAACCTTGGCATAGCAAATGGACTTGCACTATTCTGAATACCTTGAAAACAACTTAGCTGGGATTGTCAAAATATTTTTTGGCAGGGTCTCCAATATCAGACTTCCTGTGAGCTGGAGTTTACATCAAGAGCCTTACACTCTTGACGTGTATTTGGATGTCATCCCGCGTTGTCCTTCGCGTCGGTTAATCAGGGATGCATTAGACCCATATGCAGACGGGTTCATTCATTGTCTGTAAGCTGCAGTGAGCTGCAGTCTTTGCTCTTGGTTGGAACATCGGATCTGCCAGGTTGCAAAGCAACCTTGTCATTGGATTCGCTGCCGATTTAAAGTCGCAAATGAAAGTAGCACAAAGCTTGAAAGCATTCTCATGAGGTTTTAGACAGAATCGGTGACGCAGCATGAACTTCAGAAACAGATTAATATCGATTAGTTTTAATATGTAAAGAAAGCTGCATCGACACCTAGGAATCCTATATTTAATGGCTTTAGTTGTAAAGTTATTAAATTTAGATTTAATAGTTTTCAAAACCTCGTCGGCCTTCTTCAATGCAGATTAATAAGAAAATTATTTATGGATTGTAGATTCTGAATACTTAACCTATTAAGTATATCTTCCAGACTTCTTACCGTCTCTTTTTTTGTATACTATCATCAGGAGCCTGTTGATGTCTTTTCGATTAAATCTGTTGAAAGGTCATTGCTTTCTCAGTAAAAACAATAGTAATGATACCGGATCCAAACGGCGAATGCACAGTGTAAAGAATGACAAATTAATTTCTTATTGTAAACCAGCAGCTAATTGCAGAGCCCCTTGCTTCTAGACGCCTAGGGGGCCATTTAAACAGTGCACGGCTCCATCGTATTTAAACGCCTGCATTGCATAGAACGCAGGATCGCGTCTCGAACAAGAAGCGCTTCACGTCATTGCTTTCTCCATTGAGTATTTTTTTTAGAGATTTGGTTCCCCTTGTGTCTGGACTGCAATTCAATGGTTGGTTTTACGGGCTGTCTGTAAAGTCGACAAAGCTGGTACACAGTATAATTACTTTCATTGGGGTTACTCTGCCTCAATCAGTTACATTTTAGCCGTCAGATTTGGTTGACGCCATATTGGCGGTGGTCAGAAAGTCGAGTACACTCCGCAAGCTGCATCTGCGGAACTGCGGCCTTAAAAGGTAAACGGCGGGATTGCTGGCACCGTGATAACGATCTTGTCTGTGAAATGATGACAGTTTTTCTTTTCAGCGAATTTTTGCTCGGTTTGTGCAGTGCCTTAAGTGCCAATCCATCGATGCCATTGGAAGAGCTGGATTTGTCGGAAAATTGTTTCGACGAGAGCAAAAGTGAGTAGCGCCGATCAATCTGCCGTTCATTACTTTTATTTGAGTGCATTGCTAATGGCTGTACGTCGTTATAGGCGTCGTTCAGTTTTGCAGCTGTCTCTCGTCGCTCAAGACATCGCTCGAGGTAGTGAAGTTCGAAAACTGTGGACTGAGCGTGAAGAGCGTCCACGCGTTGTGCGCCGCGTTGTCTTCTCATCAGGAAAAGTTTAGGGTGTTTTCGCTTGCTGACAACATCCTGAAGGATGACCCTAGACTTAATGTACGTCTTTGACTTTTTACCAGTATTTCATAATTTGGTGTTAAGGGCGGAATTGAGGTGAGTGTATCGGTCGGCTAGAGTCTGGCTTCGGTGCATTTCATTTTCATTGAGATACTTGCGCAAATTACCCTGAAAGTGCTATGGAAAATGTTTCGAATTATAAAATTTTAAGTCTTTTGCCATACTTAACAGTTTCGATAGGTATTCTCCAATGATTCTGGTTTTTTGCCAATTAGTGAAATATATAATTAGCATTGCACAGAAAAAATACTTGTTGCATGTTTTAGCGAATCAGAAATAAAGGTTTTCTTGAAAATTTTTATGATTTTTTAAAATATATTTAGAGTTTGCTGAATCTTTTGAGCTGTTGTTCTTCGCTGGAAGTGATCGATTTGTCGGGAACTTCAATCGCTCTTGACAGGGTGCGGATGCTCTAGTGGACGCTTATTTATTGTTTCCTTAGCTAAATGAAAAGTTTAGATTTGGACGTGTCTTAAAAAGACATGTTCCTCGCTTCACACGCTGAAGCTTTCGCGGTGCGTGTTTCCAACAGCAAAGTGTAAGGATATTTCGCTACAGACCTCGATCAAAGACTTCTTCGCGTCATGTACTGCGCTCAAGTACATCGACATGGCGGCCTGTTCAATTCCAGCCGAGACGCTGAAGTAAAATCGCGCAGCGCATGTTCGAATCGTTTGTCGCGTTTCATGCAGCGAGTTAGAGTTGCAGGTTTCTGCTGTTGGGACTGGTATGCAATCAAGCGGTCAACGACGTGTACCTGAACTTGAACTCGATCGCCTCCGATAGACAGTGCTTTTCTGTGTTAGAGACCTGTGCGCCGAACCTTCGTTGCGTCACCGAGTTGGCTCTTCGGGACAACAGTAATCGCATGCTTCATAGTCTTTATTTCATGCTGTGTCGAATGGCCGGCGTTTGCTTCTAGATATGGAAGTGCTAGCGTCAGACATCATGCAAAGCATTTCACGCATGCCTAATCTTCAACGACTTAACATCGGCGGTGCCAACTTCACCGGTCTGAAAAAGAGCCAACACCGCACTAAACCACACATCGTGCTAGACGTCGTCGACATGATTACAACAGACAATGTCCTGCAATGGATTGATGGCAGTAGCGGTGTCGGATCGAGCCGTTTGGTAAGTTTTGTCCATTTGTTATTCTGTAACGTTCAGCTGTTGAGTTGGTATTATTCCCCCTAGAAAGAAAGAATTTAAAAAGTGCATAACAATGCGGGGAGGAAGATGAAAACATGAAGGGAGGCGGTAATTTACAAACAAAATAAATTGTAACACCAATGTCTGGGGTAACTATCATGAACGACACCTTTAAATATTTCCGCCGGTGTATATTACACTTCATTTACTAATATCGAATATACACAGCAAGAACGCGCCTGCCTTTACTTCTGTCGCCTAAGGAGATCATCGCACCATGGCATATGAGCACCGGAACTACACCAGATACAGGACCGCACTACTCTGAGGACATGTTTTCGAGCACTAACTAAACCTTGCTATATACCTAAACATATGATAGCACTGATGTTCTGAATTAATTACTGCCTGGCAGCTTTTTAATTCCGCCGGTAAATATTACATTTCAGTTACTGAACGGCGAAAGGTTTAAATGATGAAAATGCGTCATATAAAGTAATTAAATTTTCTGACTTCACACTGATCCTGCTGTAAGACTGATTAAAGTCCTACATAATGTTGTCTTTTATGGTAACATTGGACCTTCCTCTTGCTTCTGGTTCTGTTTTTTCCCTTTGAGGTTACCTGTTCCTTAGATTTATATACTGCCTAAGCTTTGTGCGTGACATCTTCGCAACGTTCAAATTACTTCGCGTTGCTTGAGTACTTTCGTTGATTGTTGCAAGTCGAGCAGTTGGGGAGCTCACGTGTCGAACATTCCTTCTTTTCACATTTTGTCTGAAGTATGCCGATGAAATAACACCGAAATGTTGGCCTTCGTCGATTGTCCAGAGTTACACGTTTTTGAAACGTTGTGATGAAATATCACTTAGGTTATGCATAAGTTGTCTCATCAATCAGTAAAATCAGTTAAACACGAATTCGTCCAGTATGCCACTTCAGCCATGGGTTGTTCATTAACAAAAGATAAGACTATCCAGAACACTTTATGAATGTGTTTACTTAAGTTCTGAGGTTTCCAGTCACATAACTATTCAAAATGCATGACAGTACTCCGAAGGATGCATTACTTCTCGTATATATACGAATATCTAATGTTATTCTTAGCTTTCGCTGTCTCCGTCATGTGTGAAACAATGCTTCGCATGGACTATTACGTCATTTGCCATTCTGTTGTTATCACGGATCATTAATATTATCAAAGTTTAGTTTGTAGAGTAAATCACATGCGACGTCCTGAAAGCAACACAAAGTTTTGTTCACTCGGTGTTAAATGACCCAAATTTTTCACTTCATGTAAGGATTCTGGAATATAGTTTTTAATTCTATGTATACAAGAATATATAAGACCCAGGGCCTTCTTTACGTCCTTCTTACTAGCGCTGAACTGTATCAAAGGTCAAGTTTCAGCAAGGTATGAAGAGAAATTTTATCGAAGATTTATGGACGAGAACTTATCAACGTTAATTGAATTTTTCCAGGATATCTGAAGCTTTTACTGTATACATTTTTAAAATAACTATTTTTGTATACTTCTGAAAAATAGTGAATTCTCTTGGTGCTGATGATCACCATCTATACTTACATTGAAAAAATTTGTTTTATTGCAGTTGTTGAATGATAGCCGTTAATATTTACAATTTAAGTCGCTGACCGAACTGAACCTGTCCGATTGCCATCTGGGCAATGCGCTGTCATCGATTCTGAATGCGCTCGGTTCGTCGCCGGTGCTGAAGATTCTCAACGTGTCCGGCAACGACGTGGGCAACGTCGGCGCGCGGCTCTTGGCGAAGGCCCTGCAGATCAACGACTCTCTTGAATCCGTTCACATCGATCAGAACCAAATCGGCATCGAGGGTTACGAGGAACTATCAAATGCTTTGACAGTGTAATTAGTTTTCGCTTGTTTCAATGAGTGTTTTTTAATTTACTGGTTTTCTTTTTTTCAAATAGGAACTCCTCGTTGGTTTTCATGCCGTATCCCGTTAATGACATCAACGAATGCTTCAAATTAAACAGGGAACGGACGGAAAAAGTTTGGTTACAGGTATCCATCGATGTTTCGGTTTCTTTGAGCGTATAGAATATCATCTCTTGATTTATTACGGTCTTTTAAATTAATATTAGGCATTAATAAAAGGAAAAACCTGAAGATCAGACATTCAAAACTGTTTTTTTTATTAATACACCCTTATTTAATTTAGACTGATGATTATGAATCGATTCTTTCTGCAGACTAATCTTTCTGCTGAAATCTTTTTCCATTTAACGCTTCAAGGCAATGAAGATTTACGGATCAAGGAGAATTTTAGTCGTAAAGCGCACACATCGCATACAGTGGCGCATGTCTCGCGCACTTTGACATGAACACACCAAAGCACCATGTTCTCCGTACTATTCAGAAGTCAGTGACCTGTTATTTTTTCCAGCTTGTTGCAGCGAAGCATTGTGGGATGAATTCCTTGCTCAAAGGAATTAGCCGTTAATAAGAGAATACTCACACCTTAGGCGAGTTATGAACCAGCACTTAAGTGCAAAGCAAATTATTAACCCATTGTCTCACAGTCCCTAAGCGATTCGTTCACATTCATTTATATCTTATAGCGGCTTCTGGCAGCGTCTCCTGTGGTGAAGCTTGTGTTTCAGCGGCTGGTAGGCAAGTTACTCACCATATGGAGATAACCAGCGGCATTGTCATAAAAAGTTTTGATCATAGGTCAGGTTACACAGCGTGCAACAGCACGACTTTCGACTAACTCGAAACATTCCATTTTCCACATCCAAATTGTGCGACTCCATTTTCTGTATCTCCAGCATCATCTGTCGTTAGGATTGCCATTTTATATCATTCTTTAATTGTCATAATCAATCTGCATGAAGATGCCGTCGCGCTCCAAATGTGGTTCCGCAGCTGTGGACCTAGTGCCATCAGTCATCCTCAAATGATATGCTAGGATATGCTATTGCCAGACCATGTCATCCATCAGCCGAGCACCACCCGCTAGCATGCGCTCCGGAATGGCCGATTCATGGCGATCAGATGGAACCTAACTTTTAGCAAGGAACTTGTCTGCTGCAGTCGTAATTGGGATGTTTAATGCGACTACCTGCGATGGAAATGCACTCATCTGAAATTCAACCTGACGATGACTGAAACGGGAACGGTAGTTAGATTCCACCATCTTAGCTCACTTCTGATTGGAAACCAAGATTCTAAAATTTGGATC